CCAATCCAACATTGGTAACAAAAGGAGTGGACACGTCACTTACATGGAAGTTCACTCTAACTGCCAATGAACAGATCAAGAGTCAGACATTTTATTTTATTAGATGGACAAAGTTTAATGAGGCAAGTTCAAATTATGATTTGATCGGTGCCGTGACCTTCTTGGGAGCTACTGGGTCTCGTGGTTATGCTGAACCCAGAGCCCCACATATTGAAATTGACCTTACTGATCAAGCCACGTTACTCATCAATAACGTCAGGGCAGAAGATGAAGGAACATACAAGATTGAGTTCGGTGTACAATTGAATGGGACTCTCCTTGCTAATCATGAAGTGAATGTTACAGTTTTAGGTACAAGTTTAGCAAATTTATTCTTATAGAGGACTTAATAATTTTGGGGGGGATAGATATCATATAGCTTGAAAAAAATCAGAACCAGTTAGGATAGTATGCATAGCCATGAAGAAAGGTTGTGGCTCATAATTGACATATGCACCCTCTATGGTGTTTTCGAATGAGTTTTGTGTGGCATTCAGTTCCTGTCACATTGGGCCAAAGTTGGACCAACGATGAACCACTGTTACAATGGATTTTTCAGAATAGTCTTGTTCGAAATGTTTGAAAGTAAGCCATGAAAAACTGGCTGGTGCAAATGAGGTAAAGATCTTCTGCTAAACTTCTTGGAGAAGTTTAACAAAAAAGCACTCAGAGGCTTCTTTCGCGGTTTGGCATGTCTCGCGTAACCTTCCTTTCTTAGCGGAACGTTCCCATTCCAAATGCTTCCAATTTTTGAGATGTGGCTGCATAAAAATACAGTTTTAAGAAGCACGTTTTGGGAAAGTTTAACAAATGGTCTTGACTTCGTTGACCAGACCTATTTTTATCTTTGTTTAAAAATGTCTAAACATGACCTATTTAAATGAATTTGATAAATTTTAACGCTAAACATAGTGAACATTTGAGGATAAAGCTCGTATAGAACGCTTTCAGTGATGGTGAAATCGGGTGGAAAATAACCTGTGCTGCATAGTCGTACTGACAGAAAGTTTATGACCTTCTTAGAAGACACAGTTACATAATTTAAAACTATATTACTTTAAAGAACACCCTAAGATTGTTTATGCGAGCAATGACCAAGATGTTTGCGAGGGCTCTATGGTTACTTTGGGTTGTCATGCAACTGGTAAACCAGAACCAAATATCACCTGGACAAGAGTGTGGGAAAATGGCACCGACAGTGACGAACTGCCATCTGTAGATGGGAAGTATGTCATAAGTAGTACCAGCAGAGGTTCCAATGGCACTTACCGGTGTAAAGCTTTCAATGGAGTTGGGGATCCTACTAATCAGACAGTGGAGGTGATAGTCAAATGTAAGTTACTATTTTTAAATGTACCTATATTGCTCAATAATTTTCATACTTACGAAAAGAGATCTTCACTTTAATGAAACTGTTATCTTCATGACAAAGTCGTGTTCTTTGCCTTTGTTCTCGGTAATTTAGTAGAACGTTATTGCTTTTTGCTCTTAAAAGTGCGACTTTATTACAAAACGAATAAAGGGGTCAAGTTTGTGAAGAAAACTGTACGTGTGCTGCGTCGTTAGGGTGTATTACGAGTTAAGTCGTTGACGCTCAGAACGTCAGCTTTAAAAATTCTCTACATTAGTCAATAGACAGCGTCATCTCAGTCGATAAAACCAAATTATTTCTTATTTATAAAGAAAAAAAATATTTAAACCAAACCAAACCAAAAACTCCCCCCCTTTCGTCTTCACGAGCAGGTAAAATAAGCATGCTAAGTTAGCAATTACAGCTAATAAAGTCGCACACAATTATTTTTATCATATTATTGATGTGCATGGTAGTTTTTACCACAAACGGACTCAACCCCAACTGGAAAATGGCAAAATGGCTAAAATAGCCGTCGAAATTGCGCAGTAATATTCTATTGTTCATGATTCTGTCATTTTGGGCTACCTTAACTACTACCTTATCCACTCGCGACTCCTCGACTTAACATCTCCTTCGTATTCACTCTTTCGTCCCTTCTCGTTATTGGTAGTCCAGCAAATCCTCATAAAAGTCATCCTTCTTTAAATTTACCAAGCCTGTTAAGATAACTCCTCTGTTTAGCCTATAGAGAGCAATTTTTGTCACAAATTTCAGAACGTCCACTGAAAAGTGCTGACCTCCGCGCAGCCGTATATGTGTACTGGAGACCAGTTCTCAGTTGGCAGTATGATCTCATTTCGACAAATTCCATCAATTACCACGGAATATTCGGACGCAAACATGGTAGTTGAAACTGTCATCAACTATCATTACAGTTTGAATAGGGCTTTAGATATCTAGGAACGATCTTTCTGCTAAATGTTCTTTTAAGGAAAGAAACGATAAGGTAAAGCTCCCAAACAAACACTGACGGAAACTGAGAGCCATGTTCCAGATAGAAAACACTTTTTCCAGCTAAATAATTTAGAACGCTTCTACGGTAAGGAACATTTCATATTGTCTTGGAACAGTAGAACGCTACTTATGTCTGTGTAATAGGTGAGTAACGATAAAAAGGATGAAGAGATGACCTGATATTGTAGAAATGAAGTAATGTACAATTTGGGAAAGGGGCGAGTTAATACTCGGCTCCAAAAGTAGTGAAATACCTGAGTTGACTTGTCGCTACCCCGGATCGAAAGGAAAAGAGATTAAACAGACTATTGATTCCTTGACTTACCGTGCGTTTATATTTATTCTTAGATTCTCTATTTGTAAGGAGAGTTGTCCGGTCTTCAGACATTGTGATTGAAGGTCACGCATATAACCTGAGCTGTAAGGCAACTGGGTATCCAATGCCAAATATCACTTGGATCACAGTTAGAAATAATCAGCGCAGTCACGGGAACTTACTGAACTTCACTAACATCAACAGAAACGATTCTGGAGATTACAAATGTGAAGCAAGCAATAGATGTGGAGTCAAAACTAGGACAGAAGCTATCAGTGTATTCTGTGAGTATTGAATCAAAGGTGCTTTAGCAAACTCGTAACACTTCTTTACCAGAAAAAAAGGAATCATAGTCCTTATTTAGCGATTGAGATTTCTTTATAATAATGATAATAATAATAATAATGATAATAGTAATAGTAATAATATTATATTCATCATCATCATCATCTTCTTGATCGAGGTCGTCAGTACAGATCAACTAGCTCCGCTAACAACATACTTGTCATATGGCCAAGCAAGAGAGCTTAAATTCCCTGGCGTCACTAGTCTCATGTTGCAAAGGGATAAAAATAAGTTCTTAAATTCCAACTTCGCACAAGCTCCGTCAGTAAAATAAAAGGCCCCTTGGGGGTCCTCTTGCAGAGTTGTCTATGATTTATTAGAATTTAGCCACTGGGAAAAAATTGAAGTGACGAAACACAAGCGAGCCTGCTTCCTAATGCTTAAGCACCTAGAAAAGCCTGCTCACATAATCATTTTACTGAAGAAAGATCATGTAACGCTGTACGCTGTACGCTGTACGCTGAACATCCTCAGCTAGCAAGTTGTCCGTTAGCACCCATTACTTAGTCTTAAAGTTTCAAACGTAATCGGCACTCAAATACGGAACTATCCTCGTCTTGAAAAAATAAAATATTGATATGAAAAAAAAACCAGTGTCCAGTGTTCTTTTCCGTGTCCAGCGTACTTAATCAGCTTAAATGCTTATACGTAGTTATTCAATCTCACTGTCGTCCTAACTGTCGTCCTAACTGTCGTCCTCAGTGATGTACTGTGGCTCTTCTACCGGGTATCACTGACTTCCACCCCTGATGTCACTTCACTGTAATTGTTATTGGTCAGTGCTACTTGTCCCCCTGTCTGTGCCGGTGCAGGTGTGGGTGTTCTACTTTAGCCTCTTGTTTCTTGGCCTTTAATGTTTCTTAAACACCTTTTTCTATTCTGGATACAGAGGATTTGCTGATATGGGTACCAGTATGTGTATTCTTCGTGCCATCAGTCTCTGTGCTAGGCTATAATTTACACCTTGCGCAGGCATGTTGCGCTGATCTGACAATGCCAACCAAGGGTCCTTGTTGTCCCTTTTGGCTTTCTTGCAGAGCTTCTTTGCTATTTTCACCGCCGCTTCAGCCTTGCCGTTGGATGTTGCATGCCTGGGTGATAACATCACGTGTTTAAACTCCCATTCCCTAAAAAATTCAGCGAACTCTCGGCAGGCGCACTGCGGCCCGTTGTCAGTGACAAGTATAGCACGTATGTCAAACGGTCAAACTTCTCTTCGGAAAATTTTATGATGTAGACTGCGGTTTTTCCCTTTAACTCATCAACTTCTATGAAATCTGGGTAGCTATCTATGAGTACAAAATATTCTTTAGAGTACAGGGTGAGTAATTCTGAAGAAATTCGGTTCTATAGTCGATCGGCATTTGGTGTGTCTGCATTGGCCGCCTCACATTCTTTGCTTGGAACTCAGCACATATCTCACATTTCACTACAGATTCCTCCATGTCCTCGTTCATGGAGGGCCAGAATACTGTGTCCTTTGCTCTTCGGATGCATGCTTCAATTCCCTGGTGACTGGAATGAGCTCTGGCGGCCAGCTCCGTTCTCGAGGCTCTTTGGATGACGACTCGTTGATTCGTAAATATGATGCCATTATGGAGTGTCAATTCCTCTCTTTGATTCCATTATTCTCTAATGTGGACAGGTACGTCTTCTCTCCTCTCTGGCCAACCAATCAGAATGGTGGATTTCAGAGTCTGCATGACAGAGTTTTGTGATGTAGCCTTTTGAAGCTGCAGCAGTCTCTCGCTACTGATCTTGATTGCGTCGAAAGGGTTCATTGCTTCCAATTCCAGGAAGGCACTGAATAGGTGATAAGCCACGAACGTCCGTGATCCTGGTTTCTAGATTACTTCAGGGTCAAATCTCTGTAGTCGAGGCATCATTCTTTGGAGACGACATGGCGCGTGCAGAAGCGAGTTTTTAAGATAGACTGTAGTGGTCTGTGGGTACTTTCTCGTGACGTGTTGTGAGGACATCTGGCAACCAAACACAATAGCCAAACAATCTTCTTTAATATGAGCGTATGTCTGTCCAACCTTAGACAGCGTTCGTGACGCAAAAGCGACTTGTTTCCCATTTCGAAGGAGTGTCACATCCAGACCCCGCTCACTTTCGTCGCACTGAATGGTGACCTCCTCGTTTACGTCGTAATACTTAAGAACTGGATGGTTTGCCACTAGATTTTCTACTTAGTCAAATGCCCTACCATTCAAATTGGGCGTCGGCCAGGGTCAAATCTCTCAAGGGCTGCACTACTTCAGGTAGTCTGGGTACAAATTTTGACAGATAGCTGACGAGACCCAGCAGACTCAGAACCTCTTTTTTGCAAGGGGACTTTGGTATGTCTTTCACCACCTTAACCTTATCTGGTTCTGGTGTAAGACCATCCTTGCTGATTACATGGCCCATGAATTTGACGTGGGGCTTCTCCAAACTCATTTTCTCACCGTTTAGCCTGAGGTTAACTTCTCTGCCTTTGTCTAGGAGTCTCTTAGATGTTCATCATGGTTTGCATCTGCTTCGTCCTGAGTATCTCCATACCTATCCACTAACGAATAATCTCGATGAATTTATACACCTTCTAGACCAGTACGTTTCTTATGTAACCTGCACCCGAATTCATCTGGGGCGAGGTTGATACCAAATGACATTCTTAGATATCTGTATAGACCAAACGGAGTCAAAAAAGTTGTTTTCCTACTGCTTTTTTCATCTCATCCAATCTGGTAAAACCATCTTTGGCGTCAAGGTGGTAGAGACCTTCGCTTTGCTAAGTTTTGGGAGTATTTCTTCTAACGTAAGCATCTAGTATTTGGGCTTCTGAATCACCTTGTTCAAGTCTCGACGATCAAGAGAGATTTTTATCTTTCCTGACTTTGTAACAACAACCATGCTGCTAATCGATGGAGTAGGTTCAGCCACCTTTTTTATGATGTCTTTCCTCTCTAACTCTGCCATCTTCTGCCATACGTCTCGGTGCGTGTTGTATTGATGGGTTTGGGTCGATAACGAAACTGTTGAATCTCCTCTGTGCCTAAGACCTTCAAAAACATCCTTGTATTCGGTCAAGACTTACTCTCTGGTCAAAGGAGCACTCGATTTTACTGATTCTGAAGCCACAGTGTTTACCTGTGCTGTGTCTGAGATGGTAAGCTTTAACAGTCACAGTTTCTCGCAGGTTTCCGCGGATAGTAGAGGCTTCTTTGTTGTTTCGACGACCTGGAAATCCAACTCTTTGGTTGTGTTATTTTCATGTATCTTTAGGCTAGCTACAACACAGGGCTTCATGAGGGAACCATCAAACAGCTTAAGTGGCTCGTTTTGTTTACGAAGGCCGAGTCACGGAGCCCCATCGCATCGTAAGTGGCGCCGGTGTCTAACAGACATTGTAACTTGGTGAAGCATGACTCTTCTAAGTCTGAGAAGATTGCCTTTGCGTTAAATTGCTCGCCTGGTCTCTCATATTAGAGACTTCTTCGATCTAGAAGAGCTGAACTACACTATCGGCCACCTCCTCCTCGGATTCATCCCTTACCTCTGCGACTTACTGTGCTCTTTTGCCATCCTTGCGTGCTCTCTTTCTCCTGTGGGCTAGTTTTTCTGACGACAGACAGATGCACAGTGGCTTGACTTTGAGCGCATCATACATGTTTAACCATATGCTTTACACTCTTCTTTCTTGTGCTTCTTTCGTCCCACCGACTCTGCTACAATTCTTGTTCGTGTTCTTTGTATCCTTCGTATCTTTCTTTTTGTCAGTCGGCCATTTGCCTTTGATCGTTTCGCTTGACTGCTCACGGCGTTGACTTTCTTGTTTGTTAGGCTTTAATCCTGTTCTATGAAATCGAGCTGTTTAGCAGCCACTTCGTCCGATCTGGAAATGCTGAGCGTCTCGTGAGGATCCAAATTTTCTTCCTTTTAGCTCTGTATTGAATTTCTATTAGGATCACGTCCCGATCAGAATTTTTGTGTGGCTGAGTTGAACAGGAGTCTCTCGTAGACCACATTTGTTTTAGGTTTGAAATACTTTTCCAAAGCGGCTAAACTTGCGTTGACACTTGCTCTGTCTTCCGGAGTCAAATTTAAATTTAAAACGATCTGAAGACAATCTGTCCTCATGACTGAACGAAGTGTTGCTAAACGGACTGAATCTGTTCGGTATTCAAGTCCGGTGCCAAGCTCGTAATCGTCCCTCTGTTGTCTGAAGAACTCCCGCCGAAGGGCTAACGCTCGAAACGTCAGCTTTTGTAATCGTTACGGTGGCCAATTTACCACTTCAACTTTGTTGATATATCCAAATTATTTCGTTAGTCCCACCGACGCAGCCCCAAACAGTTTCTTTCGAAACTATCAGCCTTTATTCCCAGTTTATTACTCTGTCCCCTGAAACTTTCTTTGGGCGTGGAACTGGAAAGTTCGAAGTAAAGTTTAAAACTGGAGTCGTCGGAGCGGTCTGTATTTGCGGCGTTTCTGCCGAACCTTTTTCGCCGTCGGCAGGCACGTCTTCTGCTTATTTTGTCTTGTTTTCAAGACTGTGTTGTCAGACGTGTTTTCGTCTTCGTAGACCTCCGCTTAAACGGCTTCTCGTAATGAGTTACGACCACCTTTACTGCTTTAAAGACATTTAATCCGTGCGCTTTTATCCTGACACCATGTTTACGCTTCACACAGTGAAGACACTATTTTTGAAAAGCACATGTATAGTTTTGATTAGCAGTTGTATACAAAACCGGAATTACATGTATCTTGTGACATATATGACGTCATTTTTATGCTTGACACTGTTTTTGTCATTTGTTATTATTGCTACTCCGAGGGGGCTATACTCCGCATATATGCATGCCGCCCTGATGGAAATGGTTTTCGAGTATAGCGTCTTATTTATATGACACTAAGTCGGGTATAGAGACAATAATCTGTGATGGATGAAATCAACATAAGCGCCATTTTTCATAGGTGCCGGCAAGTAGGATTGTACTATTCATTTTCAATAACCAGTGATTTGAATACGTATGTTATGGAAAATTTATTAAATGGTATAACCTAAAAACATTGTAGTACTTTTGGGCATCTTCTATGAGACTATCGACTGACCATTGAAGACTCGAGTTTGGTCATTAAATGACACCCTTTCGATAAAACTTGCTGAACAACTATGAAATAGTTATCTTTTATTTTTCAGATCCGCCCTCAAATGTCAGCTTGAAGACAGACGCAACAAACAAAGTTTGCGTAGGAACTGCTGTGAGTTTTAAATGTAGTGCGGTAGCCAATCCACAAGTCCATACATATTTGTTGTACGAAAATAATGTAATTGCTTCAAATATGGGAGATTTAGGAACTGTGTCGAGGAGGATGAAAAAGGCTGGCAAGTATACCTTCAGGTGTGAGGCTAACAACTCTATTCAAGGACTTTCAAGAAGTAGGATTACTATGTTGACTGTTACTGGTAAGTAGATACCAAATATATTTGTCTATCGCACTAGAATTACAGTGTATATGTCTGCGCTTATTCCACTATGCTGCTCTGAGTCGTGAACAGGGAGCTTCTCTAAAGGATGTCTGTGGTATATTGTTTATTTTCCTCTTCGTTTTAAATCACCTCTCTCGTCGTCCCAGCGTTTGCTTCTCGTAATTTTCTTGTATACCCTTTTTGCATTTTGCTTTGTTTCCTTCTTCTAATTGTGATCCCTCTTTTCATTCTGGTTTCTACCCAGCTATCCTAGCTTTAACTGTTTTTCCTTCAGTTCTCGCCAGTTTCTTATCTTTCTTAAGACAATAGACCGATGGTTTTACAGGTCTGCCCCTCTCGTTACTCTCGCTTTCAGTGTCTTTTGCTTTCTCGAGGGACCATGCTGGCTCCTCTTTATCTATGACGATCCTTTTCTTTAAGGGAGAGTTTTGCGGACTAAAGAACACTCCGATACATTTGAGACGGGATGCGTTCTTTTCCTGTTCACACGCATTTAATCAAATACGAAACAAAGAACAAACATCTCCATTCGCACTTAATTTAGAGACCAGTTGTACGAGTCTGCCCCTCTCATCGCACCCGTTTTTATGGTTCTTTTTCTCGAGGGACCATACTGGTCCCCTTTTATTTATAGCGATCCTTAATGTAGGGAAGACTTTGAGAACTGATAACTGACTGGTCTGGGACATTTGAGACGCGATTGGTTTTTGCGCTCACACGCATTTAACAAAATAGGAAACATAGAACAAACGTCTCCATTCGTACGCGCTTTTGGAGATGTGGAATCTAAAATCGACATAAATACTTTCTACCGGAATAGTTCTATATCAAACAATGGTTTATTTTACTTTTTCCAAAAGTTCATAAGCTTCTTACAACTCTCTCCCTTCAGGTGAAAAAAAAATGCCCTCATGGTGTGGTAGAAACTAGGTTACAAAATCTCTTCTGGTATATTAAGCTTTTTTTCTTGGCTAACGCGTATTTTTAACCCTTTACCGTATTATTTCGAGAAAATTTGGACGGACGCAGGCTCGTAATGGTTGTTTTCATCATCTTTCAAATTATCACATTAGAATCATTATCAAGTATCTTCCGGAAATCCATGGAGCTGACAATCTGAGATTGTAACATGTAAGCAAGTATGGGTTGAATTACATTGAATGTTTTAAACAAGAGTCAGTCTCATGAAAAGCTTGTCCCTGTCCATCGTGGTAAAGTACAATAATAATAAAGTATTATCTTTTGTCTCACGATGGGGTCACTTATGATGTGAATAGCGACGATTCGACTGCTTACTGCCAGTCTTCAGAGGGTATAAGGTCGACTGGTTTCGGGTCTTCTCATAAAGTAGGTTGCTCCATTGTGATTTGTTGGTATTCCACGGTTGAGATTAGCGCGCTTTTATCCTTAAGGTCAGCGACTTGTTCCCTCGGTGTCCGCTGTCGAAAGGCTCTCGGTAGTGGTGCCTTTTTTTGTTCGTGGGCATCCACACTTCGGGAATTTCTATTCCACTGTCCATGTTTATGTTGACAAGGCGAAGTCTTATGTGAATAGCCTCTTTGACCTTGCGAGTGTAACAGTGGGGATCACGATCAATAAACTTGTAAACTTTGCCGCATAGAAAGGGAATCCGGTAAACTACGCCGTCTTGCTTAGCCGGGTCGACAGCATCTTTTGCTCTTATTAGCTCTGATCTTAGTGTAGTTTCCGACCTAATGACAGACCCTACGCCTTGTTGTTGTAGGCAGCGGCGTAGCTGTTCGGACAGACCTTTTATATATGGTTACACTTTAAGTCTCTTTAAAGAATGATCCTTACTCTGTAGCAGAGTGTACTTTTCATGTTTCCCCTTCTAATCAAGCGTCTAATCATTAAACACTGGATTGTTAGGAAAAGTTTCAAATCGCCCAAACCTGGGGGTTCACGTTGCTCAAGGCAACGTCTCAAGCAAAAAATAAAAAAAAAACAGAAAAGGAGTGCCAGAGTTGCAATTTTTAAACATTTTCAAGACGAACGTAATATTCCAAACGAAAAGAGGTGGCAGTCTTGAAGCGCGCAAACATAAAAATAAAACTCCGACAGTCCATTTCGTTTTCTCTTTGTTTTTTTGTTTTTGCTTTTGTTTTCCCTTTCTGCTTATCTTATAATTTCCTTAACTTCGGCGCTTTGTATGTTTAAAAAAACTTTTGTTTGTTTTTCTCGTCTTTACTTCCCGACTCGCTTGGCGTCTTCATCGTTAACTCGTTCCGAAATTCTACTTTCTATCTCCGCGTCATTTGCATTGTTACCTACAGATTTTTATGTTTCAATTAAAGCCAAGAGCTCCATTTCAGAGAGAGAATTCTGAGAAATAGTCGGCCATTGTCAAAAATGATCGATGGCGTAACAACCTTACTCTGTGCATGAGAGTGCTTTATTTATGAACCATTAGGTAACATAGACTGAACACTTTATCGAATAACTATGAAAACAGGAACAACTGTGAACAACTCGGCATATCTATGAGATCGAGGACCACATAACGGATTGTTTGAGCAATCAGGGCTAAGATCAGAAAATTTCCCATGTCCATTTCGTTTACCACCAAAACCATAGTCGACAGGTCATATTGATATGTTCTTCCGCTTATCTGAATTTTCTTACTTCTATTTATTACTTTCTATACGACTTTATTGTTAGAACCGCCATCTGTTCAACACGAAGAAACGAAAGTTGTGAAGGAAGGTGACAGTATCTCAGTGTACTGCAATGTGTCTAGCGTCCCACCTACAATTGTTTCTTGGAGAAAATTGAAAAGTGATGATGGCATGACCAATGGACATTCTTTGAACATCAGTAATATAAGCAGGTGTCAGGGTGGAGAGTACAGATGCACTGCAAGCAACATTTGTGGAGCTGTATCGACAACAGTTGAAATTGAAGTGCAGTGTAAGTAGAACTTTTCGTCTCTAAAGCTTTACAGCACAATAATAATAATAATAATAATAATTTTATTTATATAGCGCTGAAATCCACTAATTGTCCAAAGCGCTGTATACCCACCCAACCCACCCAGGGAGGACATCCATCACACAGTAATCTCGTGCGTGGGAAATTAACGTCTCCTACCCCAACCCTGCAGGAGACGGGACCTCCATTTATTCGTCCCTATCCGAGAAGACTAGAATATCTAACCATTTCTTGATGTTAAAGAAAGGAAGCATATTCTTCTCAGTTAATTTTAAGACCCTGAGTGTTGGTCCGGCCGGTATTGAACTCTCGACCTCCCGCACAGCAGTCCGGCGCTTCTCCCAATTGAGCTAACCAGGCGGCGGTTAGCTCACTACAATAAGTAGTATTAGTATTAGCTTACTACAATAAGTAGTACTGAAAAAAAAAGAAAGCGAGAAAAGAAAAGATCTACAATTCGTGTTAGGAAAAGGGCCATTTATTTCTGTGAAATTGAGCACACTCATCTAAGCTAATTGCGCGCGCTCCTATACTCCTCAGAGCTGCATGCTCTATGCAATAGTATGGAATGCCCTGAAAATAATCTTTTGAAGGCAAGTTTGAGCCTGGTAAGGGCTGAGTTATTACCCAAATAGTTTTAAGTATATCAAAATGAAGATCTCACCTTTTCGGTTTTCAGACGGTCCATATGTAGTAGGCAGTAAACGCCACATTGTCAAAGAAGGTCATTGTGCAACTATTTTCTGTCCAGTACTTGGAAAACCACCACCTGACATCACGTGGTACAAAGGAAATGAAACAGATGCGATAATGAGCCTTAAAAGCACTCTTGAATTTCAGTTAACCTCCATGGACGTTACTGGATGGTATACCTGCTTTGCAAAGAATTCAATGGGAAACGTTACTACGAGCGTTTTTCTGGAGATTGGTAAGTTTACATTACCCTGCATGGTCATATGATTATGTCAACTAAAGCGCTCTGGAACTTGTACAATTTTGAGGTCATCATTCGGTGTCCCCCAATAGCATGTGGATTGAACTGGAAATGATTTAGTCACACTATTTATAAATGAAACTCCTAAATACACTTTCCTTGAATTGTTAATGTTTCTTTTTTCAAAAGCAGTAAGCCCTCGCTTTTAAGAATTTGATAGATTTTGTTGTAAGGAGGGTAGAATCTCCAATAACGAACTGGCCAAATTGAAAATTATCAGCAAAAACTTTATATTCTGCAGTTAAAAGATAGACCTTTGTGAGGCACAGATCACTGCAAAGCCTTTAAAAAAGAGTTGGTCTCTTTAGGTACTTTTACTTTGTAAGATCCCTTATCTGTCTTTTGCGGAACATAAAACGTCTCAATTTTTTTTTTACTCCATGGTATGACTTTAGTCATTCGCTGACTCCATTTTGATCTTTTGGAAAACTAATTTATGCATTAAATCACATGATTTTGGATTCAATATAGGAAAATCAGCACAACTAAATTTTTCAAAGGCTAACCAAATTATTCAAGCCCGCAAATCGGGTGCAAGTTGTAGTCTTTGAAAAGTATGAGTGATAACTTGTCACAGGTTGCACAAGGAAAAAAGTATGCGGTAACTTGTAAGTAATATGCTTGCAAAAAATTGACTCTTATTTCCTCTTGGCCGCGTTTATTCGCTATTTAATGCGTATTGTTACATGTAGTTACGTAATACAGTCTATTTTTCACGCGTGACAACCGTTTTAGATGTTACATGCTTACATTGACACGGCGGCCCTTTCACCGCATTTCCTCTACATCAATTCAAATTTTCCATCCAAAGTCGGGAGATGATTTAAAGAAAGCTTATGACTGAATGCGATGAAAATATTGATGGTTTGTTATTTGCTTCTTCTAAAGCGCAGACTAACAACCCATAGCAAAATCTGGCGTAAAACGGCATACTCTCATAGTTATATTTGAACAACTGACATCGATAGTGACTCAGTCCTCGCTCTGGAAAGACTCCGCGAACCGGTATTGACAACATCAGATACTACGAAGAAATGGACAGCAATTACAGCAAGGAGAAAAATCAATTTCAAGTAACTTTAAATCCTCTTTTCTTTTGTTCATAGAGAAATCAGTAAAAAGTACACCCACCACGCCAGCAACAACGAGTACAGGTAGGTTAGCTTTCCTTCATATGGTTTTTTTTTTTCTTCCAGACGATACAAACGTATCACATCGTTGATCTGAGAAGGTCTGACAGCTTTTCCTTAAGGCTAGGCTAAAGCAAACTTCGTAGTGAATTAGGCAGCTATCAAGAAAAGAAAAGCCGAATTTATCTCACTGCAGATCTCTAACCACGTGAAATAGAAGAGGCGTTTCAAAAATCTTAGCTGAGGACGTGAAGCCGGAATCCTGGAAACAGAAATGCAAGAGAAGTCAGACGCTACTCCCGGTGACTTTGTACTTTCAACAGATCTCAAATCTTCATAACTAATATGAGATAAATAGGACACGCAGTCCTTGGAGTGTTCTCTGGATCATTCAGTACAGCATATTGACTTTTGACAGGTCAATGATAAATGGCAGAGTATAGCATAGATCAAAATAATACGACCAACTGAGGGAACTGTTTCTATTTTTTCCTAGTTCCCAACAAGTGCCAGTGTTCATGTAATGACGCCATTCTAAAAGCCATAATCGGGTCACTTGTGGTCATAATCATTTTTTTAACTCTTAGCATCGTTTGGCTATATAGGAAAGGTATAGTAGATTATTTATCTGATTTTTCTGTGCTTTTGCTGGTTAGATATCATTACGTATTCTTAAATATTATTTTTTTATCTTATGTTTATAGGCACCACGATAAACCAACGGTAAGATTCTTCCCGATGCGTCCAAGGTTACATTACAATCAAAAGATCTTATTATTACTTTTTTGGTGTATATTGTTTGATATAGTTGAAAAACCACAAATTGACGGCGAGGTCTATCCTTTTTTTTACTATTACAGGAAACTTGAACATAAAAGCAGTGTCTACATCGTAAGTTTGCGAGAAAAGCAAGTATTTTCCGTTTGAAATTGTAGCAAACAAGAAATAACTTTAACCCTTTAAACTCTAGCCCCAACTTTAACTTATGTTCCAATTTTAGCTTGTATCTATATCTATTCCTATCTTGTATACTGACACCCATCATTGTGCCATTGAAACTCTAACTTTAGTTAGACCTGAACGAAGTCTTGTTGTCACATAGACAAGTACTAATTAGAGAATAAAAGAGACAGTATGGCTTGTAAATGGATTCATCACAAAAAGTAATTCTGATCTTTTGTACATAAATCGAGGCTAACCCTGTAAACACGTTCTTTAAATTTTCGTTCATCTTTCGGTTTTGGTGAATTCAAACGCTTACCTTATCTTTTGGCATATTCATTATTATCTGTACTATCCCTTGCCTATTGCTCAATGATTAAACTGTATCTGTAATTAAATTTTCGTTCTGTAGTGTAGTCTTAAAGACGTCCCAGGATGGACTGTTCCGGTAGTAACGCCTGACTTTTCCTCCTCTTTAACAGAAGCCATCATCAGATTCAAGTGACCAAGTTTGAATCGTGCAATTACCTTTGCTAAGGTTGACGTTACGTCAATGAATAGTACATTAACAACAGTCCTTCTTAGGAAAACCCTCACCTTGACGATCAGACAACACCGACGACTGTTACTCCCAAGTTCAAAGCATTTTTTGTTTAACATTTTTTTTGTTTCTTTAGAATGAAATGGTAATGAAAGATGTCGAGCAAAGTCTCGCTGATTCAAGCACATTCAATCAGCCTGGGGCAGAATACATGGATCTAAAAGAAACAAGCGCAGACAATATAAAATCACAAAGTGCCGATCAAGGTGCAGATTACGCAACTCTTGATCCGTCAACACGCTCCTGGGAAGTAGAAAGGGACCACGTGGCTATAGAAAAAATAATAGGCAAAGGTGCTTTTGGTCAGGTTGCCAAGGGAACAGCCATGGAACTTCGAGGGAGACCTGGGACTACTACAGTGGCTATAAAAATGCTCAAAGGTAACTTCTTGTTCTGTGGATACAGAGTTCAAAGAGGGCCTGGAGTAACCTTTTTGCTTGTTGTGTAAGGTATTTCGCTACAAGGAATTTGATTTACCGCACAACCCGCTCATTCAGTCATGACTCATCACTTCACGGGTTTATAAGAACCAACATAATAACCAGCTTCCAATTTGCTCGTTAGCTCAGTTGGTGGAGCACTGCACCTGTATCGCAGAGGTCCTGGGTTCAAATCCCGTAAGGCCTAAATATTTTTCAGGTAGATTTTTTCAGGTTTAGGTCGTGATCATTACCACGAAGATCGCTGTCATTCTAATTTCTTTAACCGCAGTTCAAACGTATGATTTCATACATTTACAAACGTTGAATCCTGTCATTATAGCCATGTTTACATTTTATATTGTGGACTACTTTAAAATTCCCCCAAAAGTTTCCTATCAGTTTGTGGAGCATAAGTACCCTAAAACAGCTAGTTGGTGAACCTCTGCAAACACCATTCATAGGAAAGTATATATGCTATTGAAAGCCTCTAGCCGTCAAAATTGTTCAGCTCGAAATTTTTTTTTTTTTTCAGCTAATGCTGCTGAATCAGATAAGAGAGATTTGGTCAATGAACTCGAGACAATGAAGCATCTGAGGCCACATCCTCACGTTATTAAACTTCTGGGATGTGTTACAGTAACTGGTGAGCTACTTTAGTTGTTTGTAGATGCTCTTGAGGAATTGGTCTGTTCTCTTGTTTGTCACGTGCATGAGGAGGAATATTCGAAAATTCGAGGGAAAGCCCCTCCTTACCCCCTCCATACGTTTTTGAACAAATTACAATACACAAGGGTTGATTTTTAATCATTATCAACCCTTGTGGCTGTAAGTTGGTCGACTGGTTTTTCTATTTATTTTTTTCTTAAAAAAACTAAGTACAGAGTCAAATTGAGCATAAATGCCGAAGGCGACGTCTCTCAAAAATAACTTCTCAGCCGCAACTCAAAGCTCTATGTTGTCAATAGGAAGCACTCAGCTTAACTGCGTCGTGATTTTCTTTTTAAAATGAGCTGAGCGTGGTGGAACACGCTCGAGATGGCTTTTTAATATAATATAGCGCGCAACCTCATTATTTTTAATTCCTTTTTAGCTATAACGGTCAAAATCTCTATGGACGCACGGCTATGCCGCAGTGAGATAATCTGTGCATGTGAATCTTATTTCAAAATTCCTTTCCAGTTCAGTGGCGAGTTTCCATCCTTTCAAAATGGTTTACGTTTTGGAGCTTAAATTATAAGTGAAATGACTATGAAATGCCCTCTCTTTGGAGACCATTTAATTTTAGTGCTTCATCATCTCTTAAGAGCCACTACTGGTGCTGATCGAATACGTGCCATATGGGGATCTGCTGGGTTACCTTAGAAAGAGCCGTGGATTAAATGACACTTATTACAAAGACCCAGATATCAAACCACATACAAGTCTGACGTCACAGCAGCTGATGAAGTTTTCCTGGCAAATAGCTGATGGCATGAGTTACTTGTCCTCAAAATCTGTAAGCTAAATAACTTTCCGAAGTATTGAGGTATGCATAACTATTTAAAAATGGAAAAAAAAATAGAGGAAAAAAATATTTATTTCATGAAAAGCAGAGCCTTACTTTTATCGCCCATCCGATGCGACACACGCTAAGTTTACTCGTTACTTCCTGACGCGATATCCCGGAATAGTTAACAACTATTCACAGAAGTGGAGGTGGTTAGTGGTGGATATTTACCGAGCCGTGAAGCGGCGAGGTATATATTCAACTCTAACCACCGACACTGAGGTGAATAGTTGTTTTAGTATATACTAAAAGAGTGAGATAATATACACCACCAAAAATTGATTTTAATTCATACATTCCAGCAACGACTCCAACATTTTCCCGCGCGTAACGATCCAACGCGGCTCAGATCGCGGTAAGTGATTTTTTGTT